TATCTACTTTCCATTTATTCTCAAGGGAAATCAATCTATCTTCTATTACTTTTTCATACAGGATTCCTTTTTTTTAAACAGTAGTCATTTACTTTTCTTCAGTTTTATTTTTCCTTTTCTTCCATGTCTATGTTTTCCCTAAAATCCATTCTTGACACTCAGATCCAGAACCTCTAATCCCTCTCAGATTCTCCATTCTTGTTTCAGTTTTTTATCAGACAATCAAGTCAGTCATGCTTTTAGATTAATATTTTTATTTGCCATGCATACTTATGAATAAATATATTCTTAAACCACATATTCAAAGCAAAATACATTTTAAAAATAGATACTCACTAAGCAATCACTATTAGCATTCATTTTTATTTTCCAAATGACTTATTTTTATATGTTCCCTATCTCAACCATATATTCATGATTTTTAACAAAATATCACCCCACCCCCCAATCACATATATAAGGTATATAATTTTTCCAAAAACTCATTCTTAGTTTTTCTATTACTGCCATTCACTAGAGTAGTGGTAGTTAACCTTTTTAAACCTACTGCCCACTTTTGTATTTCTGTTAGTTGTAAAAAGTTTCTCTAACTGCCCACTGGTTCCACAGTAACGGTGATTTATAAAGTAGGAGACAAAACCCCTACCGCCCAACATGAAAGCTGGAACACCCACTATTGGGCGGTAGGCATCAGGTTGAAAATTTTACCACTGCACTAGAGCATAACAAACAACTATCACCAACTAATGAATTCCTATTTTCATAACTATCCATAATCAAGACAATATCAATTCATATTTACTGACATATATTTATTTTTTATTTATTTATTTTATTTTGTCAAGTGATTATAAGATAAGAGGTATAAGTATAAAAATATGTATGAATACATGAAATGGATACTCATAAGAAAAATAAAAAGAAACAATAGGACAGGGACAGTAGGCACATTGGTGCATTTATGCACGCCCCCTACATACCTCCTGGGAAAGGGGTGAAGTCAATAGTAGACAGTTTAAAGTTAAAGTTTTTGGGGTTTGGGGAAGAAACCACAGAATCAGGTAGAGTATTCCAGGCATTGACCACTCTGTTGCTGAAGTCGTATTTCCTGCAATCAAGTTTGGTGTGGTTTACCTTGAGTTTGTATCTATTGTTTGCTCTTGTGTTGTTATGGTTGAAGCTGAAGTATTCATTGACAGGTAGGACATTGCAATGTATGATTTTATATACTATACTCAGATTGGACTGAAGGTGACGTAGTTCTAGGTTGTCTAGGTTTAGAATTTCAGGTCTGGTGGCATAAGGTATTCTGCAATGAGTAGAGGAGTGGAGAACTCTTCTTGTGAAATATTACTGGACTTTCTCAACTGTATTAATATCAAATACGTAATGCGGGTTCCAGACTGATGAGCTGTATTCAAGTATTGGTCTAGCAAAAGTTTTGTATGCTCTAGTTATTAGTGTGATATTACCAGAGAAAAAGCTACGCAGGATTAGATTAACAACTCTTAATGCCTTTTTGACTATGTAGTTACAGTGGGCTGTCAGCTGGTACTCCGTTCAAAATCCAAGAAAGAAATACTTAGACTCTTGTAATTAGAGAAAAGATATCTTTTACTGGAAGTCAAGTGGTAGCAACAAGAGAATTCTGAATCTGAGGAAATAGGCCACATCACATATATCAAGGGATGGGAATGTTCCCACCCCCAATAGTTCAAATGGTTCTTCCAATTAAAATTGTGAACCTCATCATGTGGACATCCTCAGGTGGTGATGATTAGTTGACCTTGGCCTACTCTGATAAAGGTTTGCAGCTGCTCAGGGAAGAGAAAGCTAAGCAAGAAATAGAAACCCTCCTCAGTTTATACAATATTAGTTGGTAACACTTCCAGCTCGTTTCCCATACTTCTCCCCCTTCCTCCCCCCGTTACTCATGACAGCCAGAAAGAAGATCTTGAAGGCTGACAGGCTCTAGCACTTAGATCATTAGAAATGAGTACTTCAAGATCCTTGACAGAGTTGGATCATCAACAAGGTGTTGACGATTCAGCTTGTATTTTATTTTCTGATTTTTTTTGCCAATATGTAAGACAGAGCATTTATTTGTTGAGATTTGAAGTTGCCATTTGTTTGACCATTCTGTCAAGGTCTTTTTGGAGGGTAGCAGTATGGTGGTGTTGAATAGCTTTACATCATTGGCGAAGAGATTAATGTGATCACAGAGGTCATTTATGTAGAGTATGAAGAGAGTTGGTCCTAGAATACTGCCTTGGGGGACACCACTGTTGACAGGTTCAGAATTTGATAGGATGCTTCCAATTTTGATCATTTGTTGCCTGTTTGACAGGAATGCCTCAATCCATTTATGCAGGTGTCCAGAGTAATAAGATTTAAGTTTTAGGAGTAGTTTGTCATGTATCACTGAATCAAAGGCTTTACAGAGGTGTATGTAAATTGAGTCTATTGCTTTGCCCTGATCCAGTTGTGTAGTCAATATGTTTTTGCAGTGTAAGATTACAGGATAGTTTTTTTCTGAAACCAAATTGTTTGTTAGAGAGTAAGTTGTTTGTCTCTAAGTGGAAGATAATGGATTGGTTAATAATTGATTCCATGACTTTACAGGTGACACAGCATAAAGAGATTTGTCTGTAATTTTCAACTAGGCTGGGGATGACCATGGCCAGTGACCATAGGTTAGGCAAAGAGCTGGTCCTGAAAGATTTTTCAAAGATTATGCTTAGAGGTTTGGCTATGGCAGTGGGTAGCTTTTTTAAGAAGTAGGGACATATTCCATCCAATCCAATAGATAGAGATGGTTTTAGATTGTGTAGTGTTTTTCAACATTGTCTTATGTAAAATCGATATGTATTAGATCATTGTAGTTGTCTGTGGTTCGACTAGGAAATACTGGGCATGATACATTGCTGTTTACAAATACTGAGCCAAAGAATGTATGAAAGAGGTTGACTTTAATGGTGTTGTCATTGCAGTCTTTACCATTAGGTGCTTTCAGGGGTGGGATGGACCTTGAGTCTTTTAGTTTGTTGTTTACAAAATTGTAGAAAGTGCAGGTATATTATTGCCTTTTACACATAATTAAACTGCACCTTCACCTCATTGCATCTACTTAATTTCACAAAATGACATTATTCATATTTATTACATTTTTCTCTTTTCTCTTATTTTCACAGATATACAACATCTATTTTTCATTATTTATGTTGTTTAAATTCCATTTTAGATATTTTACATTTATAGACTGTATACATTTAATATACTGCATACATTAATATATTGCATATAGTGACTATTGATTTATGGTTTTTCTTTTATCCACCAACCAAAATTATGCTGTTTGAATCAGTCAGCCTTATAAATTTCAAGATTAAATAAGAATTCATGGCTTTGGTTGATTAAGGCTTTCACATAATGCTGTTCATTAATACAAGTGAAGATTACGTTATCAGATATAGTTGTAGTGATCCCACAAGCAGCATTTCATAACAATGTTAAAGACTGCGTTCTCTTTGCTGATGATGTAAAGCTATTCAACACCAAAGACAATACTGCTACCCTTCAAAAAGATCTTCACTATGTATCAGAATGGTCAAACAAATGGCAACTTCAAATCTCAACAAATAAATGCTCTGTCTTACATATTGGAAAAAAAAATCAGAAAATAAAATACAGGCTGAATAGTCAAGACCTTGTTGATGATCCAAACTCTGTCAAGGATCTTGGAGTACTCATCTCTAATGACCTAAGTGCTAGAGCTCACTGTAACTACATAGCCAAAAAGGTGCTGAGAGTTGTTAATCTAATCTTACATAGCTTTTTCTCTGGTAATATCACACTAATAACTAGAGCATACAAAACATTTGCTAGACCAATACTTGAATACAGCTCATCAGTCTGGAACCCACATTACGTATCCGATATCAATACAGTTGAGAAAATCCAGTAATATTTCATAAGAAGAGTTCTCCACTCCTCTACTCATTGCAGAATACCTTATGCCCCCAGATTCGAAAATCTAGACCTAGAAAACCTAGAACTATGCCGCCTTCAGTCCAATTTAAGTATAGTATATAAAATCATACATTGCAATGTCCTACCTGTCAATGAACACTTCAGCTTCAACCATAACAACACAAGAGCAAACAATAGATACAAACTCAAGGTTAATCGCACCAAACTTGATTGCAGGAAATACAACTTCAGCAACAGAGTGGTCAATGTCTGGAATACTCTACCTGACTCTGTGGTTTTTTTCCCCAAACCCCAAAAACTTTAACCTTAGACTGTCTACTATTGACCTCACCCCTTTCCTAAGAGGTCTGTAGGGGGTGTGCATAAGCGCACCAACGTGCCTATTGTCCCTGTCCTATTGTTTCTTTTATTTTTTAATTTTTCTTATATGTATCCATGTATTCATAACTGTTTTTACTTATACCTATTATCTTGTAAGCTATTGATAAAAATAAATAAATAAATATATCAAATAAAAATGAACAATACTCATTATTCTGATACATTTTGGCCAATATCCTAGAAATTCAAGCAAAGCCTATTCCAAGAGTGCTCACATAATTTAAAGCAATTAGGACCTTTAATATACTACAGTATTTTGCAAACCAACGTATTACTGCCCATATCCCACCAAGTAGAATGAACACATAATATACTGACTTTATGTATACTTTATATATACCCTGCCCCTGAATTAAACTTTTTGCATGTTGTAGCTCTCATGGGTAAATCTGTAAGGTTGAATGCATTCTTGAACCAACTGCCAGTGACTTGATTGAATAATCCTCAGATGTGTTTTTTTTCTCTTTTACATCATTTTTAATGTGACAAGCCATCTCAAGACAATAGAATCACTGAGGCAGTTGTACTTTGGTTTGTTTTTTGACTGTCACATCATAGAACAAATTCCAATATTGATGTAGAAATTTAGGAAAAGGAGACATTAAGAAAAAGATTTCTACTGCACATACTTGATATCAGCAAATGCTGTCATCTGGAGCTTCAGAAGACCAGCAACTTCCTTTATTAAGTCCAAACCTTTTTCTTCACTCAGTGGGCTGTTGAAAAGAAGCAAGAAAATAGCATTACAAAAATGGATCTCATCAATACACGAGAGACTAAAAATCCCCAAAGATGTATCACCTTAGCCTGTTAGGTAGGTTGAAAGGCAATGCTTACAGTATTCCTGTCACATAGTGATTGCAATATCAAGGGAAATGGGATCAGGTGCTTTCCCAGGCATGATGAATCACCTGAATTTTCCAGCAATAAGACAAACAATAAGGTGTAAATGGAATTGTTAGGAAGTGTAATGGGTCCAATGATGCAGGGACCAGTTCATCTTGGTCCTCAATAAAAAAATGTAATGCAGTTTAAAAAGAAAGAGAAGAGAAGGAGAAAAACAATGTAAGAGAAAAATGGCAAGATGAAGCGCGTGACAAACAATGGAGGCAAATTGCAAGTCTCCATCAAATGGAGAAGGAAAAATCTACCTCCCCATTCATTGCTAAATGAATTCTTGCCATGCACGTGAAAAAATGGTTATAAATTCAAGAATTAAAAAATAAAAACTAGTACACCATCCTGCAGGCAATAATTGAAGAGAAGACATACATCTGGTGATTTGCAAAGATCTTGTGTTCAGACTTTTCTGAATATTTTATTTTATTTTTAACGGGACAATGGGATAGCTATATGTTGTCTCCAACATTTTAAATCAGCTAGGATTGCAGTACATTTGTATAATTCCAGCAACTAAGAAAACAGGGTATTCAAAACAGATGTATGAAATAATATAGCCTTTTCCACCCTCATACACATTTCAGTATAGAAATGTTCATGTTATATTACAAAATGATATTTGTAACAACAGTAGTTTAAATTAAGGGGCAGGGGAGAGAAATTACACTCGAAGAAAGATACTTCAATTTTTCCTCCTTCAGTCTTGTGCCTTAGAAATATGTTGACCATATATTTGGATAAGAATGCAAGATATGACAAATAGCAATATTATTACTGTCTCCCATCCAAAATCACTCTAATAGTAAATAGAATGGCACACTAAATAAATACATAAACAATCAAATATAAATAAATAATATATACTGTTAAGCAAGGCAGATGATCTGAATGAGCTCTCCTGAAGCATATGATTCTCACCCACTCTCTGGGTGTTACCATATAAGAGGACCTGACCTGATGTGCTCACATTGCAGTACTGGTCAAAAGGGCCCAGCAGAGATTATACTACCTGAGACTTCACAGAAATCAACAACTGAATGAAAAACTGCTAGTGACCTTCTACCACTGCACCATAGAGAATATCTTAACTTACTGCACCTCTGCATGGTTTGACAATTGCACAATGGCAAATAGGAAAGCTCTCCAGAGGTCATTGCCCAGAGGATAATTAGTTGCTCTTTCTCCTCTTTGGAAGAGCTTTATAGCTCCCGCTGCCTTAAGAAAGTCCAAAACATTCTCAAAGATCCATCTCATCTTGGGTACCCCTTTTTTGAACTATTACCATCTGGCAGACAGTACAGGATAATAAAAACAAGGACAAATAGGCTGAAAAACAGCTTCTATCCCAGGGCAGTAGCTCTTTTGAATTCTACTGTATAGTGCAATATTAATGCAATACTGGGTTTTTAAATTCAATGTATAGCATATGAAGGATGTGTGTTTGTGTTTATTTTTATAGTCATAATGTACACTGGAAATGCTATTTAATTTCATCGTATGAGATGAAATGACAATAAACTAAACTAAACTAAACTCAGGAATTAGGAGACAACTTGGGAAACCACAAAGGGCTTTCTGTTCTATTGTGGAACAAAGACGGACTCGCAGGCTGGAGTTGAATTTAGTGTCAGTAACTTCAACTAAACTCGAGCCACGGCAGCCTCTTTTATAGCAGCTGCTCGTGGCTCACGGCTCACGGCTCGTGGCCAATGGCATCGTTTTAAATTTCCCACCAATGGTGGGCCAATCGCAATAGTTGTTAAGCCACCAATCGCTGGGTGGCAATGCTCTTCCAATTGGAATGAAGTATTATGAGTATGCAAATGTCTATATACAACACCCCTCCCCTCTTGGTCCGGTCCACGCTACATTACGTAGTCGCGTAGGTAGGCGGGGCTTTTGTGGTTCCTACTTGAGCTGCGCAGCTCAGTCTCTGTGTTGATTCTGGTTGGTTCGGACGGGATCGCTGTCTCTCTAGTCCTTCTCTCTGGAACCTGCTGGAAGGGTGAGTCAGCCATGCCGCTCCCTCCTGGCTTACCCGGGCAGATTGAGTCGGCTCAGCTGCTTCTTCCTTGGTTGTTTTCCAGCTCCTTTTCTCCAACTTTGCCTTCCAGTAAGTAGTTATTTTTTGTTTGGCTTTCTGGAATTGGTTGGTGATTTGTTTTTTGTCGGGTTAATGAAGGGTCTTCCTTTTCTTAATATTTAATGGTTCCCCCCCCCCCGGTTTTTTTTATTGGGGTTTGTGCATGTTCTGTGCTTCTGGGCGTGTCTGTGGTCCACTCGATAGCTCGAGACCATAATTGGTCGATGTGCCTCTTCCAGGTTCTGCTGTCTGTCGTTTCTAAGCGGTATGCCCTGTTATCTGTGTTATTGTCGCCGGTAGCCACAATGGGTCTCCAGTAAGATTTTTCGCATATACCAGGTCACCTGGCGAAAATGTGCGGTACTTACTGGAGGAGTCTGGTGGCTTTTCAGGGTTGTAGGTGGGGTGCAACCTGTCCAGATATGTTCGCAATTTCCTGCCCATTAACAGTTCAGCTGGACTCTTGTTCGTTGATGTGCTCGGTGTGATATGTTGGATTGTGAGCATTGTATTGATTTGGTCTTGAATGTCACCTGTGTCGAGTTTTTCTAATGCCTCTTTCAAGTATCTAACCATGCATTCCACCTTTCCGTTTGAAGCCAGGTGAGCTGGCACTGTCAGGGCATGTCATATGCCCTGTTCTGCGAGGAATTGTTCAAAAGCTAAAGCAGTGAACCAAAACTAGCAAATCCGGCATCCCATGCATGGCAAAAAGCTTTCTTAGTTGTTTGGTGATGGCTTCGGTTGTTATGGAATTCATGACGCTGACCTCCAACCAGTTCAAGTAGGCATCGACAACAATTAAAAATGTATATCCTTTCGTGGGTCCGGCGAAGTCTATGTGGATCCTCAACCAGGGGCCTCTTGGTGTCTCCCAGTCGAGGACTGGTGCTAATGGGGGATTAAGTCTGGATTTCTGGCATTTATTGCATGTTGTCACCCATGTTTCAATGACCTTGTCCATCCCTGGCCACCAGACGTAGCTTCTGGCCAGGGACTTCATTTTTACCATGCCTGGGTGTCCTTCATGCAACATGCCCAACACTTCTTCCTGTAGTTTTTTTGGAATTACAACTCTATCCCCCCACAGTATGCATCCTTTCTCCACTGACAGTTCAGTTTGCTGGGTTCTAAAGGGTTTAAAAGTTTCGTTCTTATCGTTTTCCGGCCAGCCCCTTCCTACCCAATTCAGGATCTGAGCCATCAATGTGTCTTTAGCGGTTTCCTTTGCAATGTCTGATGCTGTGATATGCAGATTTGGTAATGTTTCAATCTGGAGTGTTGACGTGGTAGGAGCTGGGTCATCATCCCGATCTGGTAGAGGGGAGTGGCTCAGTGCGTCGGCATGGGGTATTGCTTTTCCTGGTCGGTGGACAAATGTATAGTTGTAGGCTGCAAGGAATTCTGACCACCGTGTCATCCTTGGTGATAGGATGTTGGGGGTGGCCCTGTTCCCCACCAGAATTCCCAATAGAGGCTTATGTTCTCTTATGGACATTAAGGAAAATGTCCTACTATAAAGGTATTCATGAAACCGTTTGACACCCGATATGGCGGCTAAGGCTTCTCTATCCAGTTGGCTGTAGTTTCTTTCAGCTTTTGACAATGTCTTAGAGTAAAAGGTGATCGGTGCCTCTCTGCGATCAGGGAGTGTGTGGCTGAGTATGGCGCTCACACCAAATAGTGATGCATCGCAGGTGACAATCAGTGGCAACGTATCACTGTATTGGATCAATACCGATTTGGACGTTATTAGGTCTTTAATTCCCTGGAATGTGGCTTCTTCTCATTGGCCCCAGGTCCAGATGGCTTTTTTATCGAGGAGTCTGTGCAGTGGCTCCGCTATTGTTGCCTTCTGCGGCAAAAAGACATTGTAAAAATTAATGAGTCCCCAAAATGCCTGTAAGTCTGTTTTATTTTTGGGTCTGGGTGCTTCTTTTATGGCTCTTATTTTTTTTCGATGGGGTGGATTCCTGCTTCATCAATAAGGTATCCCAGGAATTTGACCTGATTTGTAACAAGTTGGCATTTTTCTTTTTTGACTTTGAGTCCTGCTTTCCTAAATCTTTGCAAGACTTCTCTTAGCCGGTCTTTTAGTTGTTTTTTGTTTCTGGCGGATATCAATACATCATCAAAATAAGGGATCACCCCTTTTAGTCCTTGTCGGAGGCGCTCCATTAGGCTTTGGAAAATGCCTGGGGCCACGCTGACACTGAATTGCAGTCTGTTGCATTTGAATGCCCCTCTGTGCATTACAATAGTCTGCGCCTCTGCCGTCTCGGGATCAACTGGCAATTGTTGATATGCTTGCGCGAGATCGAGCTTTGCAAAAACTTTTCCTTCCTCCAACGAATGCAAAAGGTGCTGAACTACGGGAACGGGATATGCGCTCTGCTGTAATGCATGGTTAAGGGTGGCCTTATAGTCACCACAGATGCGCACAGACCCATCTGGTTTCATGGGTGTTACAATCGGGGTTTCCCATCTTGCATGGTCGATTGGCTCTAGTACCACTTGTGCGATGAGTTTGTTCAGTTGCCCATCAATTTTTGGCTTTAAGGAAATGGGGATGCGTCTGGCTTTTAAACGAATGGGGGCTATGTTTGGGTTCAGACTAAACAAAATAGGAGTCCCACGGTACTTGCCTAAAGTCCCATCGAATACGTCCTGGAATTCCTTCATCAGGCTTTTTTCCCAGTCCGTTTTGGAGATGCTGTTGATTCCTGTCACCTC